TTTTAAACCATTTAGAATGTAACCTGTTTGCTGTATGAGTAAAAAATAAAACATTTTTATTTGTGATGTTTTTAGTGACTAAAGTAATTATTAAAGTATGATTTTCCTAATGAACTATAAATATCACACTTTTATATATCAAGCAGAATAAACCTTTAGATAAAATAAAGGTGATTATTCTATACTTTCATGATTTCAAATGTTCTGCTAAATGTTTTATCTTTTCTTATTCCAATATCATATCAATTTGAAATCCTTGATTTATAATAAGATATTATATAAAGTAAGTTTCTATTCACTAATATTTATTTCTCATTTATGTGTTTTACATTCACGAGATTTAATTCTTCCATTCTCATTTAAAGATAATTTGTGCAATTAGAAAAAATTTGAAAGGTGATTCTAATTAGAATTGTGTTAACTTTATACATTAAGAGTGGGCAAATTGATATTTTATAATGTAATGCATCGAACCCATAACAGGATCTATTGCTTGGCTGTCATAATGATTGTTTTGATTTGTAGGGTCCTATTGCTACTATAAATATTGTCAGTGGACTTTCGTTTGCATGTATTCTTTCTTCATCCAAGTTACTAAATGTTCTTATTAGGTTTATTAGTTTCCTGTTAGATTTTATTGTTTTCTAAGTATATAATAACTATCAGAAAGAAAATATTGTATTTCATTCTAATTAAGTATCTGTCGTTATTTTAAGTACTTTTATGTATTTTATGAAAAATGTTAGTAATTAAAATATGCACAATTTTAAGAAGGCACATCTACCTTTCAAAGATGTAAAAACTTGAAAAATACAGCTTTCATAATTTCTAACTATATAATTTCGTAGCTTCATTTTGATAATAATCCCAACTGTTTTATTTATCTTACTGCCTTTTCAAGATGGCAATTGAATGTTGAATATCAATGATGAAAGTGAGTATCCCCCTTTTTTGTTTGTTTCTTGATTTTAATTAAGGTGAATACAGGATACAATAAAATTTAAAAATTTTTAGTTCCTTAAAAATTTTAATATTGTTTTAGTAGTTCATCATATTCCTATTTTCCTTTAAATTTATTGGGAGAGATTAATGATTCTTTTCCAGTGATCA